CATTTGAACCCAAAATTAGTATAATTAGGTATATAAGTAGTACATTAGTCATTATTAGTATTATTCAATTTATACCTATGATAGTTTTATGATTTTAGTACTATTATCAGTAGTATTATTATTTAAAGTATATATTTAGATATCACGAAACCCGCTGTTATTGAAGTTTGCCGATCAAAGGTTTAAGTTCAATAGAATTGTTTACTCGTTCAATTCGACAAAGAATCGTGCGATGGATCCCTTACATTATATCATATATGCAGCATTTATGTGAATAGAAACTTCAAAGGAGAAGAGATATCCTTATTCCTTATTCATTCATAAGATATTATGTTTAAACAATCATAACTTTTAGGGCTGATACAGTACTGTTTAGATATCATCGATTATATCTCGCCGGTTCATTATGATCTGAAGAATTTCAAGAACTCAGAAATTAAATTCACCGGATTTTGCTTAAAAAGCCATACAGTTTTATTCCAAAATTTATCTCATCAAGTAACACTACCGATTTATTCGCTAGAAAAGAAAAAAACAGGTCGTTATGATCCACCGTCACGTGACCACCATCACGTGACCACCATCACGTACTGTATGGTTATAGTATGGTGGCTGTTTGCATTATAATAATTAAAGGCTTGAAGGAGACTCTCTTGACAAAGGAAATCAGTAACATCTTGGTGATACTCAGTAACTATAATTATATAATATCATAATGTAATGGCGCAGCAGGTAAGGTACCTTGTTCTCTGGAGATGGCGTTACTCAGATGCAGAAGTATTGTAAGTAAAATAGGTGAAACTGTCTGATACGATCCAATATGTTCCGCCCTCGGCGAGTGACTTTGAACCCTTTCAGACCGGTGCAAATGCAGAATCAAAATGAAATAAACTTTAAAGATTTGTCACAACCTTTTATGACCTCAACTCTCAAAGTTGAACTCTGATCTGGAAGGTATCTTCTTCTCCAAATTTAGAATAATGATCAGAAGTGTGGATAAAAACTAACTCAATTAGTTCAAGTTCTGGAAGCATGTTTACTGTCATAACACCAACCTTCGTGTATTTAAATCTGTAGCTCTTGGATGAACTCCTGCATGAAGTAGAAGGTATGACAATGTCTAGACAACCCCGCGGCGACAGCAGGAATTACTGTATATTTTGTAAAAACTCCTCAACTCATTCCTCTGTCTCTCATTCCTCTCTCCCTCGACATGCAGGACACCTCATACTTAGACTGCAACTACTTCAGGGTGTTTACAGGATGTAGCCCCGTCTTACTTTCCACAAAAACCATTGCTTGTCGCAAAAACCACGACGTGTTCATGCGAGACAGCTTCGTGTGGGAGATGGCAAATGCCGGCAGGCACTTAAATCTACGTGCTATTCAGCTCATCTCATATTATACATGTAATATGTGCATGTAATATGTGCAGGCTTATCTTGGCATTATCCTTAGCGCTATGTACTAGATGAGATTGCCCAATTTAATCATTTCACTCCAAATAAAACATAGCATGAAATGAACTCCCAAAACATTGAATCCAAAGTCTCCCAGTCAAAGTTCCATCGAGACGTTGCAGCATTCTAAAGAATCAAGTGAAAGAGGTACATGACAGGATGCTATTTTTGGTTGCACAAGCCACGCTCCATTATGCAGCACGCTTTGAGAGGTTCGTGCCCTATGTGCTAATGCAGAATGTACTATTATATTATATTGATACAATGCAGCGGTTCAGGACACTGTCTTTGTATGTCACTAACGTGGTTGTAGCGAGAGTAAATAGAACAAAAGCGGAGGAATTTTCAAGTACTGAAATATATCGCGCATAGCTTATCTTGCAGCATATTTCTACTCCTCGTCTTACAAAATACCATAATACCTGCGTTTACTGCAAAGAGAAAGACTTCTACATTGTCAAAATTTTTGATTTCTCTCATTATGACATAAAAGGTCAGAGAGGAACTAACGTAGTTAATGATGAGTTTAAAGTGCTCATTTTGGAGAAAGATTGTGGAATTTTAATACCAAGTTCCTCTCCTCGAAAGTGTAAATTATTCATGATGATTACAGTAAATGCTGCAGGAACACGGTGACGGAAGGAGCAGACACGTGATGTAATATAACTGCTTGGTTCTATGTGATTGGACAACGCTAATTATTCGGTGCATGGTGCTTAATGGAACTGTTGATTGGAGATTGTAGAATTATGTTATTAGGCCAAGGTAACTGTCCTTCTAGAAAGCGTACATTGTAGTAGCAAGTGTACTGCTTGCTTCTGTACAGCACATGTTAGTGTACACTGTACACTATTTAGAGGATGCAGCCCATGTTAAATTGAATTATTCATGTACGTGATGCAGTGTGAGTTTGCTATTAGAGGTAGAGCAGTAGCAAGCAATCAATTTGTAACTATATAACCAATGCTTATATAGTTATACAATGTGAAGGATTTACACAGGTCAGCGGATTTTATTATTATTTTGATTTAAATCAATTGCCAAAAAAGGTAAAAACCGGTTTATGGTTTTATGTGGCTTAATCAAGTTTTGAGACCTATTTTCCAACGGAATATATATCGCTGTTGATTATACCCTCGTAGACATTTGTTAGAAATTTTAGCAGGCAGATCTTGATTGGATTTTTAAAACAAGAGCAAATTAGTTTCTCTGACATATTAATATTTTAAATTCTTTACAATACAGCATACGCTTTGAACCCTTTGTAAACTTCTTTATTTCATGTTGCCGAAGAAGATGGTTTAGTTGCTAAAGATTGGCTGTTGGAAACTGTCACATTATAGATGGGCAGTGGATGGGAGTTTACAAGTTTAGCACTTTCCTTATTCGAGAATTAGCATCCTTTAAGAGGAAATAAGAGATTCAGATAAGAGAACGCGTTCGATGATTTGGGAAGAGAACTCCTTTCTATTACATAAATTTGTAAAACCTTTAACAGTAAGTTATTCTTTTAAAATGATTTTTTTTATGAAAGAATATCTAAAAGAATATCTGATATATATTATCTTAATGTCCTTTGTCGATACATAAAAGACGTGACTCACGTGACCACTACCCTAGATACTGTGTACACCCAGTTCCAACATCCCGTACGTCGGTCACTAATATAGAGCCGACATTATATTATACTAATGTCCTGAACTATGCACATTATACTATACTAATGTCCTGAACTATGCACTACCACACGTTTTACCGCTCAATCATTGAATGGAACTCTCTTCAAAAGCACTTATACTGAAAGGATATGTTATTACACGTACATAGTGAGTTCAACGACTGACGCATGCTCTTTATTAATGTCAATATCACATTTAATGCTATCATTCTTCAAAAATTAGATACCAGTTTTCGTCCAGCATAGCCGCAGAAATTCAATAAATATTACACAATACGATCTTGACGTGCAGTATGACGTACAAATGACGTGGGATCTCATGAGGTCGCCAGCCACACAAGGTAGTAATATAAAGAAATTCAAGATAATTGCACAACTGCATGTCACGTAAAGGGGGCCGGGGGGGGGGGGGGCCGGGGGTCACATTAACCATATTCAGAAAGTACAGTTTTATACACTCTTGAAGTGTTGCCACTCACTATATAACATTACATAACACTACATAACACTACATAACACTACTACATAACACTACATAACACTACATAACACTACATAACACTACATAACACTACATAACACTACTTCCGAGATACTCGGCGTGACCTAGGCCCGCGTCGGTATACAACTACCAGAATAGTATGTGATCTGTTTAGAAGATTAAAGTGGGGGGAACTTTATAATCTCTTTAAACCAGTTTAAATGGGGAGCTGTGTAATGTAGTATTTGGTTTTGGTTTTGGTTTATAGAGCTACACGCCACATATGTCCAGGTTCATTATAATATATAATGTAGGACTTCTAGGCAATGTGCTTGGTTGTGGGACACACTCAACTAGGGAAGTCGAGAGGGCTCTGAAAATCAAGTATCATTAAAGAGATATCAACAGAGTGTGAGCCACTGCCAGACTAACCTGTGATTAGAGTTTGCCAGGCTCTATGAGTGTGGCAGAGAGTGTCTTCTTTGTCCTATCCTTTGTTCGTGATGCTGATAACAGACTCTTGTTGTAGGTGGTGGTGACAAAAACTCATTTGCATGATTGGGTCTAGAGATGGGTCGATTGTGAACTGTGAAGTGTGCTATAAATAAGTGATAAATAAGTGATAAATAAGTGATAAAGTGTAATGTAGTACAGCGAAAAGCAAAAACTTCGATGGATGGTTACCATAATGGGTGCCACATGCCTAGCAGGAGTGTTATATTAATAAAGTTGTTGTAAATATTTACCTACTAACTTGCACTTGTGTTGGTCTGTATAAGCATTAGTATCGGGCGTTACCTGCAACAGGCTATCCCGAAACTAGAAGCTTGCTTTAATAATTAAACCAGTTTTAAAGGAAGCTTCTCAGTGAAAAATGTGTTTTTTCCCAGGACTTTATATCTTATAAAATAAAAAGCGCAGAGGATGTATTATGTAAAATATATTATAATGATGCATGCAAGTATTGAACTGACAGGTAGTTTCAGTAAACTGCTCCTCTCCCGCGAGGGTAGGGCACTTTAACTTAAGTAATATAAATTAAGATACACCGCGGTAAATCAGAGTTTTTTATACAACGGGACAGTTATGTAGGCCACAACAAAGTGCGTTGACAATGTGAGTGCGCATATAATATAGACTCATTTGTATGTGATACATGTGTAGTACACGCATGTGCATAATATGTATGCAACTATAATTATAATATCACTGTATCAACTTTAAATACCGTAGACCAAACTACCACTTAACACCAGTAACCAGAATATTATACCGTTTATTGTTAGTCAATGTTATTTATAACATATTAATTATAACATATTTGTAATATATTTATAACATATTTTTAACATATTTTTAACATAAGTATTGTATCTCTTACCGTGTAGAGATCCTTCTTAAAGTTAATCCCTAACACGTCTAAGTCATCGCGTCCGTAACGGAAGGTAGCAGTTATCTCAGCGTATACTTTATACTCTGCAGAGGAAATCGGATATTTATTAGTATTATCTTTAATAAAATCGAAGTTTCCTGATGAGACGTTTAAATAGTAACATATTAGTAGCAAGTAATAATTCATTAAATTTGTAATTATTCATCATTTTGAATTAATTTAACCGTTTATAACCCTCATGTTAAAGCTGCCGAACACTTAATCTCTTAATGGTTATTGGTCATTAGCCGGGCCTGGCTGATGATCGGCTGGTTGTTGTTACCGTTTATAAGGTTGCTATACACACCACCACGGTTTATGTATATTAATAAACTATAAGTCAGTCAGTGAGCTACACAAATTCTCCACAATGGAGCAAATAGTATGAGCCTCTCCTTTTGGGGGCAGTTTGTAACATGGCAATTGGCAAATTGTATTACATGAAATGTGCCCATGGTCAAAGTTACTGAGCTGTAATTTAATAGAACACAGCATCATTGATATTACATTTCACCACCTTTAGTGGCTACTGCTTACACTACAGCTCTGAAAAGTTGGGTACATCTATAGAGAAATGAGGCTCAGTCTGAGTGAATAGTGCATTTTGTTCTTTAAAAAGCTGAAAATCCAATATGAAGGGAATAATTAAATTTTCTTTGATTTAAACTCTGTGAGCCACATTGAGTAATGACTAGCGCAGATTGGGCCTTTTTTTTATACTTACTAGTAATTTATACCTCGAATTTTGATGGCTTCAGTTTTATTAGGGGTAAGTCAGAGTCAGGGTCGGGCGAAGCTCGGGTTTACTAATCAGTTACAACTATATATGACCAAGTCTCTTAAGGGGGCAGGGGGGGGTCTTCATGGAAATTTTCTCAAAATCGACTTTTTAGTTGTTTCTGATAGATGGGAGTGATATCTATCAGATGCTTTTAATCCAATAGAAAAATATTGCTCCTAGCAGAAATTATCGCCGGTAGAAGGTCAGCGCTTGTGTGTAATTGTATTGCGCGAGCGATTTTTGATCGCGTGCCCTGAAAATCGGGTCTAAAAATCTATCTCCTCCTACATTTTTTGAGCAATCACCCTCAAACTTTCAGGATATGTTCTAGGGATCATTTAGAAGAGATTGTCCGGGCAAAATTTTGAGATAGGCCTTTAAACATTTTTTATTCGATTTTGAAAATCTTGGACTTGGTTTTTTGACGATTTTTCGAGGTCCAAGATTTTTAAAATCGAATAAAAAATGTTTAAAGGCCTATCTCAAAATTTTGCCCGGACAATCTCTTCTAAATGATCCCTAGAACATATCCTGAAAGTTTGAGGGTGATTGCTCAAAAAATGTAGGAGGAGATAGATTTTTAGACTCGATTTTCAGGGCACGCGATCAAAAATCGCTCGCGCAATACAATTACACACAAGCGCTGACCTTCTACCGGCGATAATTTCTGCTAGGAGCAATATTTTTCTATCGGATTAAAAGCATCTGATAGATATCACTCCTATCTATTAGAAACAACTAAAAAGTCGATTTTGAGAAAATTTCCATGAAGACCCCCCCCTGCCCCCTTAACTTTGACTTTTTAATTATTAATTCTTACCTTTATTTTCTGTGAACCAGTCCATCTCATGGATGAGTAGAACGGCCGCTGAAATGATATGGCTATTAATGTGAACACATTTTATACTTTTAAAACGGCATAAGGTGGGTTTCAGTTAATAAAAACTGGATTACAAATTGCACAAATCATTGAAACATAAAGTAAACAATGGTTTTAATTTAGTATATTGTAAGATGGAATAAGCCGGTTAATATCTGGTCTCGGGGATGCATATGATATGATGCATTCCAGTTTATTGAATGGATTCACATTTCTAGAGAACTATTCATTAAAGAAAAGAAGGAATAATTGATATGGAAACTTGATATCACTAAACTAGATGTCTCCTGTTTATAGAAAAATAAAACTTACCGATAGGGTCAATGTGCCCAACATGATCAACAAACTCTCTTGTTCCAATGTATGTTGATATCTGGCGATAAGATGTTTAACTGTACAATTTTTATAATCTAATATAGTAATCATCGATGATATTAGAGGATCCAGAGTTAAGATATTTAGAATAACTTTCATAGATTTTAAACAAAGACCCTGATGATACAAAGCTGCCTACCTTTCCATCTAGGCACATTTTCTTAAACACCCTGAAAAAATTAAAAATTGTCACAATCAAAAGAATCAAATTCAGTAAACATCAATAAGTTTGATTTCACTTAGTTCTGTCATATTCATGAGACAATATTAATAGTACACACAATTGTATCAAAAATCGAGATTAGATAACGTTTTTTGTCCTCATGTACAAAGTTCAAGAGTATGCATTCTCTCCATAAAAATGTGTGTTAAATGACAGTTGGCTTTAAAAACTTGCGGTTTGGAAAAGGATTCATTTTACCTTGTTCCATCTTTGGTATTCTTCTTCTCATCCTTTTTATCACTACTTGTCATCTGAATGTAAGAAAAATTGATGGCCAAGGTAATACAAATGGTATGCAAAATAGATTTGCAAAATTGAAAATCTGATTTAAATAATAATAGTTCAAGTCTATGATATAAACCTTGCTGTGTTACACAATAACATGTGAAAAATAGGATATTTCTGTTTTTCCCAATTGGTTCGTCTGAAACAACAATAAAGAAATAAATGAAGACAACAAAGCTTTTAGGAGAAGGGCCTGTTGAGACATTGTGGTACAGTGCAGTGGTCGCTTGAAGGAGCTTTGTATCAAAAAGTTGCAGGTTGGAGACCAGCATCCCAGGTGGTGTTAGAACTACACACCATATCCTCCATGAGCAAGACAGAGAATACAAGGACAGGTCTTTCCTGTTTAAAGTGTGGTGTAGATTCCACTTGAAAGGACGTTCATGGGTCTTAACACTAAATGAAAGCCTTTCATCTGTCGTACAAGCATACAAAAAACATATAAAGAATAAAAATTCCACCCTGGTTTTCTCTATTTTTATTTCGAATGCCTTTAATACTAAAACCGTAATACATACATATTACATTACATTGGATGAGCTTACACAGTGTAATTTCCTCTAGTCTGCGCCGCCCGCCTACATAAACGTACGGCGCAGACTGGAGTAATGTACTACGGCTTAAGGATCCCTTCCAAGTACAGGCAGCAAGATTGCAGTCCAAATAAGGGAAATATACTGAGGTTGTAGGGCATATTTTTACCACGATACAGATTTACATGCTGTAACCCATCCTCTTATTTTTATGGCAGGCAAAGTTTAAAACCGCTAACTTACCATTGATTACCTAATTGATAAATACCTTATTTATCATATATATATCTAAAGCCAATATATCAATTATGTATCCAGTTAAACACATCCCTCTGGCTGTGGTGAGCAAAGGACTCCATCAGGTCGATCACACTCCCAAATCGAGTATGTCAAAGTCCAGAGATTGAGAAACTATGATTGATATTAAATAAAAGTAAAAGTAAAATAAAAGGCCAAAAAATTTCGATGCAGTCTTCTAAGGGGGCCCTTCAATTCAGACCTATTCAATTCAGACCCATTCAGTGGAGTATAACGTATACTATAGCGATCTATATATATATAAATTTTTTAAAACCCTATAAATATATATATTGCATTCGTAAGACCTCCTATAATCTACAATCACCAATGCCATAATTGGAAGCGAAATAGCTCATATACAGGGTTAGAGCTTATCCCCTATACAAATGCAATGTATTTATATCATTTTAACGGCCAGGTATCGCAGTTGGTTAGAATGCCAGCTTTGCATTCGTGAGGTTGCGGATTCAAATCCCACTGTCTGCCTGGTCGTGGGGTGAGCGTCGTTGACGTTCAGCTAATGATCCTGAGTGGTCTATGCAGCCCCCGGTCTACTCAGCCGAATACTCGAGAAATAGGGTGTGAGGGTTAAATGAGGAGCTGCACATTGCAGCAAAGTCTCAGGCAAAGAAAGTATGGTACACACTACCTTAACCGTCATGCACTGGCTAAAAACAAATCCTTCGGCTTCCTGTAATCGGCTGGTTGCACTTGTGTAACAATGTGGCTGTTGGAATACTCTGAAGTAAAATAAGTGTCCTGATTAAAAAAATTCCACAGTGGTCAAACAGTCTCATACAGGCAAACATAGCGATGTGGCTAGTATAGAAATAAATGAAAAAATACACAACGATGAAGTCACGACGTACTCCAAAACCCTGAACAATCTGTTAACGAATATTCACAGAAATTGTCAGTTAAGTCATTGTCTGATACAACATTGAACACAATTGTAACAAGTAATGAGTAACCAGTTACATTATATTACAGGAAAAGGGATTATGTTTTATACAAATCATGAACACCTTGGTTTGACAATACCAGGTATGTAAATATAAATTTAACGGGTGATACTCGTAAAATATCTGTTCCATATACAGGACTGTCGACGAGTCCAACTCGGCGCGCGTACTGGTAGGTTGTAAACCTACAAATATATATCTGATGAAAATTTGTAGGTCTATAACCTACCAGGACGCGCGCCGAGTTGGACTCGTCAATTGTCCTTGTCATACGTTGTATGACCCGCCGCGCACGAAGTGCGCGGCTCCCCCTGTATCGTCAGAACGATAAAGTGAAACGACCGTGGGTGTCACAACGTGATACAAGATTGTCCTGGTACAAATATTTTACGATAGAGTATCACCCGTTAAATGAAAATACAAAATTATGTATTTTTACTTAAGTCACGGTTATATATTATTAATATTATAAGACAGCACCATTTTTTCCATTGTTTGTAATGAAAAACACTGCGCATAGGAAAAGGCGAGCCTGGTAACGCTGCGCATCAAATAATGTTTATCGCAACCACACATTGCATTGCTATATTTTAGTTATCCATTGTTTATATAAAGTGGAATAAACCAGCGCCCTTGCCTAGTAGCTTCTATAGTACTTTTGAGTACTATATAAGCGGCGGGCGCTACTCCAAATATATTTAGACAAGTATTATTTGTCAATTGTCAAAGTTAAATCCAAAAACTGTTTTTCCCACATTTTTACTTTTAAAGAAATACTCATTTAATTTTTTTTACTGAAATTTTATCAATTGACGATGTCAATTCATGGCAGCTCGGCGCGGCACAGTAGCGCATTTTGCCGATCTAGCCAGAGAAGCCTGTGAAAAGCCTCATTGAGTGCGCGGCGCGGCACAGTAACGCATCGCGCAACAAAAATTTGAATTTTTCAATTTGTCAAATTTCAACCCTTCGCAGCTCATTGAAAAGCTTTATTGCATGCGCGCCCCAATAGTACATCAATCTACAATTTTTACTTTATTAGGCCGCGTTTTTTGCAACATTTGCTGCGCGCACGTCAATTCTCAAAATTACATATTTTTGTCATTCTTAATTATATTATCCCAGCTGCGATTTTTATACCTTCATATTGTAGCTCACCAACTTAATATTCTTTAGTTGACCTGTTTGCACGATTTTGCTGTAACCGCGCTTGCAGTTTTACAAAATTGAAACAAAGCTTTGTTTTATACTTTGCAGCACCAAAGTACAGTCATTCCAGAATCACAGTTTATTATGATTCTCAACGTTATACTCCATTTATGTGTCAAACAGTATATATATACATTCAATTAAATCAAGTGATGAAATTGGCAGAGTACAATCAAATTTTAAATGTTGCAATTGGCAGAGCACAATTCATTGCTACCAATAATTTTTTCAAAAACATTTTAACAAAACACATGATCTACTCCATTATAGGGGCAGGGATGAGGTTGTATGAAACTTCTGATAGCTGAATCTCACGTTTGGTGTCCACCTTCTTTCCTCGGTACCCTCGTAGAGCAATAAGAGTTGTTCTCAACATTGCAAATCTTATCCTAGTTCTCACGTGTCTTACTACATCGCAGTACCTTTCCTTCCTTTTTCTTGCAATGAGGTCTGCTACTCTGTTGACGAACTGCTTACACTCTTTAGACATTCCTCCAGATGTGAGAAATACAGCCGGGGTGAAGGTAGCCTTCTCCACATTCAACACTCTCTCCAAGTACTCGTCCTTCTTCTCGTTCTCGTTCTCTTCGTATACTTCTTGAAGAGTTTTTGTCCTGTTTGATAAGCAATTGGGGTGTGAAACCCTTATGTCAAGAAAGGTCTTATCAAATGGAGTCCAAACTCCTCTAGCAGATACATCAAGCCGAGCTTGGTCACCTGTTATAGTCTTGGGGTTGAGGCAGTCACCCTCATTTACCTTCTGTAGCTGGGGTTCAACTTTTACATCATGACATACCTCACGAAGTAGATTTGCCATTGTGTCTCTGATGTTGTTGTGGGTCATTATCACGTAGCCCCCTAGCTTACAGGTGAGAAGGTGGTCAAGATCACTTGTTTTCCCACATCCACAGGTGATGGGAGTGTTTGGTATCCACCAACTGTAGCGTAAGCAGACACTGTCTCGAAATTCCTCTTTGTTCAGAGTGTAGCCATACTGCTGAAGTGGCAATGTGTTAAGCCAACTGGACGCTCCCTTTTCTCTTGCTGTTAGTAGTGCTCTCTTAGAGGAGGTGCCACATCTTTCAGCTATAGCGTTAAACTTGGCTTGGAGCTCGGAATTCTTCAAATTTTTTATCATTTCTTTCCCTGATTTGGTGAGGTTACTGGATGCAGTGTAAACTTCCTGTTGGTCCACTATTGCCTTTGTAAGCTCGGTGGTGAGTAGCTTGGAAGCTGTGTACTCAGACTGGCATTCCTCGTGGGGTTTACCAATGCCCAATCCTCCCAATCTTATTGGTAGACTTAACACGTCCCTCTCTAAGTCTGAAATCTCCCTGCCCAGCATCTTTGGCAGAAGCTTTTGTCTTATCTCATGTTCTAGCGGCTCCATTTATATACTCCATTTATAGATAGCAACATATTTGGTTGAGAAGACACTGATGTGTTGTTCCATCACTGACTTTTAAAATTAGTCATCTGTAAAATTAAAACCCTTATTATATATCTGGGTTGAAACTAAGATCATGTGCTAGGCCATATAAAGAGGTTTTCAATTTTTTCAATTTTTCCTTGTTAAATGCCTTCCTTATATCTTAAATGTCTTCGATGTCAACATCAACTGGCTTGCATTCCAATAAGAAAATACAATTTAAAATAAAATAGAGTTCTTTTGTTTATTTCCTCTGTTTCCTCAACTTTCACAACTTTGTGTGTAGAGAGTTGTTGAACAAGTTGGTTTGCAGGCTTGTCAATGTGCACCTTACTACCAGATGTAACAGATGTCTAGGTTTTGACGTTTCCAATTTTATCTGAGTATTCGTCCACTTATGTAGTTGCACTTGAAACTTTTCGGTTAATACGCCTAACCTTTAAAGCAGCATAATTTAATCATAGTTAATATTTGACAGAATGTTCTGATGTAGCTAGGTAAATCTTGGATACTTTATATTATTTGCATGGGTAGAAATATCTCAAACCAACTCATCGGAAGTTTCAAAGTCTATAAAGTTCGCATTTCTGTCAAAATTTCCCAATATTCCCTTATACCATCTATCAAAAGCTGACAGATGCAGTGGCGTAACGAAGGTAAGGGCCCCGCTGATCCCGGGTGTGCCATCTTAGGGGGGGCGTCAAATCGTCATTTGCATGGGGACAATTTTGAAACTTGTAACGACCCAAAAGATAACGCTACACTGAAATAGCTTGAACTATTCTGAGCGATAGAGATCAGATAACAGCGTGGAGCTCAAAGTTTCAAAGTGAAAACCAATGGTTGGAACTAAACTTAAATAAATAGCCCACTGGAAAGGTTCAGACTTGTGGGTCTGAGTTCCTTAGAGGTTTTTTTTTGTGAAAAGAATAAGAACAGATCTCTTCTCATCTTATCTCAGATCAATGTCACGTCACTTACGTTTCAACATACATCAATGAATGAAATTGATCTGTTGTGCTGTATTGGGATTGTTATGAATCTAAGCCTACCTGAGCAAATCTAAATAGAGCTCAACACTGATATCAACTCAGACTCAATTTAAATAATTGATATAATCAAAAAACTTTTAGAATATACAACAGTAAGCAAAATGGGAACATTACTAACATAAAAGCATGATAAGGTTCACCTAAACAGAAATGGTACCACAAGTAGCACTGACAAGACTTTTAGAACTTCTATAACTTGCAATCAATGTCTTCTGTTTGTGAGGTGAGGAGGGTGTGGTTTTTTGTTTGTTTGTATTATATTAGTTTTAAAAGTATTTTATTTTAAGCAAAGGGTTTTTGTTTCCTATTTTCAGATCTATCGTGCTATTTGTTACTGAAATGCTCATTGTAGCCTACAATACTTAGATTTTCATCATCCTCATAGTGCTGTCCAGACATTATTTGACAACACAGCAGAGCACAATTCTGGGCTGCAATGAGGTCACAATATTGCAACATTTCAAGTTAGGGACACAATTGAGCGCATTTAACCTTTACCTCTTAGACTTAACTTACAGCTTTGATCTTTTAATTGGTGTTGAAACTACATCTCATGAGATGAAAACCAATTTGACTAAATTTAAAACTTTCAGCAGTAGGATGAATTTATTCAGATTATGTGGTGACTTATCTCATTTAGTTGCGATAATCATCCTTCTGCTCAAGATATGGAAAACAAGATCATGTGCTGGTGAGTACATCTCTTGATTGTCAAACTGTTTGCTATTGTTTCTTTTAAAATGATTCTAGCTTTCCTATTCTCACCAGGAAGATATCAGATATAGAATAGGATTGATCTGGTGTATGTTGACAATTGCAGCTTTAACTAACATCCTTTTTGTTTCAGGTATTTCAGGAAAATCGCAGGCTCTGTTTGCCATGGTATTCTGTACCCGATATCTTGATCTCTTCTTCAGCTTTATCTCTCTGTACAACACCAGCATGAAGATTATCTACATCGCATGCAGTGTCGGTAAGTTGTATTTTATCTTACTAGATGTTCTCATTAAACTTTCGAGTTGTTCTGTGACATTAAGTGGGCAATTTTGCTAGTTCACGGTTGTCTGACCTTTAGCTATATCTGTTCTCAGAAGTAGTGTTGTTTATATTGAAGGAGAATATTACAGTTCGAGGAGAAACATCTGGAGCAGGACTGAAATAAATTTCGACTTTACTCATTACTCGTGTGCAGTGGCATCATTGCATATAGGTGCGGCAAATTGTGCAATCGTGCAACTGTTTTGATTTTAAAGCAAAATTACCTAATAATACGTTAAATACCTTTACCTGCAACCGCTGCAACTAAATGGTTGCTCTGCTTCATTGGCTCGGCTGAAGAGGAACACCTGTTGTGTCCGTCTATCCATTTAAAAATATTGCATTGTATTAAAGATTTCTCAGTAAGGACAGCTATAGCAATTAGCATACCTTGAAACATACCACTGCTCCAAGATTTCAATCTAGTATTATATCTTGAATTTGTCACTCATTAAGAGTCACCTTGTCATTCACCTGCAGAATTAAACGTCTCGGGGGATGCAGGTCACACGTGTGCGATACAAACCTTGATTAATTGCTTAAAAGGCTTGACCTTAGCAGCATATTGGCCACAACGGGACCAGCAAAATATGATTGATGATTAACACTTATAGTAATTTTGTGACTTGAAAATAGCAGATATGACTCATGTGATATTTTATAGTGCACACAATATGCATGATTACTTGTTGCAAAGCTCGTTAGATTGAGTGATGCTAATGTTGTACTTCTGACAGTTAAATATTTTACATCCTCGGCACTTAGATATAAAATTCTGTTGGTGTTAAGCTATATTTAAGTGTAGAGTGTAGAATGATACTGAAGAACTAACATCGTGATTCGTGAGCAGGTGTTTTAAAGTGTATGAGTGCAAGTTAACAGGTGTTCATACGACGAAAGAAAGCTGCTATTTCTTTCGTTACGGCGCTCTTATTATATTGTTTTTCTGCGAATGAAATACTTAATGCCTCTGTTGACTGTTTTTGTTCTGCAAGAACAATGGGGCACTGCAAAAGAGCTGCCCGTTTTGCGATATTTCGGACATGTTCATTGTTCAGTAGGATGGGCCACGTTGATTTGGGCACGTCACTCTGTATTAGTAGTAGAAAATCTCAAATTATTATTGACAGTCTCTCCCTGACTAATTCTAGAAGAGCAGAAGTATTTTAATGACCATTCATTTCAGGAACCTGCTATCTGATATTCATGAAGTTCAAGCCCACCTACGACAGCAACCACGATACCTTCCGTGTAGAATTCTTGCTCGGACCCTGCGTTATCTTGGCTCTCGTCCTCAACCACTCCTTCACCGTTACTGAGGTACATTAGCATTTAATAGATTTATCATAGTATTAGCATTACGAATAGCTACAGAGTGGTACCACGTATCTATCCAACTCCAAGTTTTATGCGTGGGATCACAATAATCAGGGACACGATAATTGTAATCTCACGCTAACTCAAAGTTCAAGGACAGATACGCTGTATCACTTTTTAGCTATTATTATTTATTTCAGTCACACACAGACAATATGCAGTGTTAGCATGTCACGGCAGAGATTAGAATCCGCGTAATATATAAACTGTGCACTTGTAATAAAAGTACAGTTTAAAGATTTCTTACCCAATTAACAACGTCATCAACTGCAAGATTTTGTTTCTTTAAGCGTAATTGGACGGCCCAAAAAGACAAGCTACTAATATCATTTCCCTGCAGATTCTCTGGACTTACTCGATCTACCTTGAGGCTGGTGCGATCCTCCCTCAACTGTTCATGATGTCTAAAACTGGGGAAGCGGAAACCATCACAAGGTACATTGTTTTTTATTTATTCTACACAAAGTTATACATTGATAAAATTTCCATGAGGCAACAAGTGATACTAGTAACGGTAATTTACCATCGCAAAGTTTTATTTCAAAAAATTTCTTCTGCATCAGACGAACTTGTAACTTTGTAATAAATATATTATGCAAGTGTTATTGTTCAGTAGAAATCATCAATTATTATTGTTTCATTATCTGACTAATACCCCATCCCCTTCAGTCACTATCTCTTCATGTTGGGCATGTACCGCGGACTTTACATCCTCAACTGGATCTACAGATACCACACTGAGAGCTTCTTCGACCCAATTGCCGTTGTTGCTGGAGTCGTCCAGACTGTCCTCTACATCGACTTTTTCTACCTCTACGTCACCAAAGGTTCGAGGAATTTTGAAAACCTGAAGAAAAGTATTTTTAAAAACTTTTAATACACAAGGGAATTATCAAGTTTGATTCAGTATTGGTAACCCAAAGTGGTCGATTGAATATGTTCCGATTAGTCCTATATTTCTAAGGGACTGGATAAATCTACTTTCACGTTCCTCTAAATCTTTATAAAAATAGTTGACATATTCCTCTATCACAACCCTAATTATTTAATGAGCCCCCAAATTGCATGTCTTCAATTTCATCAAGGGGGGGGGGGGGGGGGGGGGGGGGTGGGGGCCATGTATTACCCAATTTTTGTCAAATGGGCATGGGTTTAAAAACAGCTAAAACCTTATTTATGATGAAAAATTCACCATCGCGTTCGCTGTCTTCAACTAAATAGAGTATGGTCTCAGCTTCAGAAATATTTGTTTTTCGATTTCGACCGGAAAATCGAAAAACAAATATAAATTTTTGAAAGTTTACTTGGGTCAGACACATCCTTAAATTCGACTAGGTCTTATAAAATTTACCACGTCGTTCATTTACTCTAAATTCTCAACAGATATCTAAATAATTCAGATATCCAAATAATTCTTTTTACAAAGGTTACATATTAAACCGTCGTTAAAACAGTTTCCATGAGCATGATCAACATCTTTGCTATTCACAAAGGACGACTAAAAGTTATATCTCATTGATGAGAAGCCTCATGATAAAAGTAAACACCCCACTAGGACATTGCACTGAGTTACTTCTTGGGTCAGGACTTTTGGTAGTCACAGATTTGAAGGAGGAGAAAGTTTTGGAAACAGTTAATTCGTGTTCAATAGACATGACCATTGCTGAATAAAGCATTTTCACTCCCATAGGTAGATATGAATGAATGAAATAGTGAATGAATGAATGAATGATTCTTATTAGGACTGTTAAATGTTGGGTATAAGAACTATTTGAAGTGTCAGCAATTTGAGATAAACCTCTCTCCGTCGTCTTGATCTTTAATTGTTGATATTTCCAACCATCTTTAAAGGATATATTCAGAGTTGTAGAAGCAAATCTTTAGTCCATGTAAGCATAAAAAGCGTCAAGTTGTTCATTTTCAGTAACCTTTAATCAGTGATAGTCCTCGCACGAATCAGCACATGAACCATGGCCCTATCCAACTTATCTTCATTGCACATGTCAAAACTTATGTTAGATCTCCTACAAAAAAGTTGCAATATTGGGAATATTACATCCGCTTTGATATCCACTTCCTATTTCCATGACCATTTGACGTACACGCTGGATATTTTGAAAACGTGTCTAGAAATAATTTGATTTCCGTTTGACAGCCACTAAAAGCAACCACCTGGCAGCATCCTACAAAACTTTGGCATGTTATTACTCGATAGGTATGATGGAATAGCATTTCCATTGGTGTTCGATTTCTGATAACTTGATCCTCTCTAGGGCATTACCACCCATTACCTGTGCTATGGCCACGTTTACATTTACAGGCCAGCAAAATCCAGGGCTCAGAGAGAGGTGTGTTTTTCAGGAACGCGCGAAAACATTCTCGATATGTCGACGTGAAGTCACTTAGCTAAAACTTATGATGTGTCCTGCGCGCGCGCGCAATCCGTTAATACAATTAATCAACAAAAATGCTAATTTGGTTCCCAATTAATCTGATTTTCGGCACTTTGAACCAGTCTTATCAATCCAACAGATTCTCTACCATCATCATATCAGCAAAGGAATATTTACTAAAAGTTACCGCTGAAATTGACCACGTTATAGACCTCCACGAATCCTGGGACACGTCACTTCTGTTGCAACATTTTTTTAACACCTCAATTATACCAATGTTATTATTCCATTCTTGGGATATATCTGATAATTAAATCTGTGATATTTCAGTGCTCAAAGGAAAGTCCCTGGTCCTCCCTTGCTAGATGGCATGGAGTTAAGAAGACAATCAGCTCGATTCCCAGTATCTATATATTTAGCTTTTGAGAGGCATAATATGTTATCGTTGTAGAAACGGGTAAATGTTGAGCATTGATAAGTTATTCCATTGATGAGGGTTTTGTTTTTAGGTGTTAAGCATTTATCTTAGGGAAAGACAACGTATTTAAAGTGACATGATCAGGAATCTGTTTCAGTATTTGAGGAATGAAAGGCGCTTTTTTTTGTGACACCAGTGTTGTCGGCAGTGTTTACCTAACATGTTATATCAGTGCAATAGTTTTTTTGATGTAAAAACGGTTTTATACCAGCTGTATCTTTCAAGGGCATGCTTAAGGTCTTACTTGATTTCACCATTTAATGTCTTATTCAAATCTTAGGATCTCTAAATTATTTGTGTTACTTAGACTCTTTAACTACTTATATTAGTTCGCTTTATAATAACTCTCAGGATATATTTCAATATTACGGTAATTTCGTTTAATATCGTAGGTTGTTGCAACATGGCGCAGTTTCAGTTTGTGACAGTGTATAGCTTTATTAAATATTACAATTCAATTATATTTTCCAGTTAAGTAACACTGAGTTTTAGTTTTCCCGCTCATTGTGTATGCTGAAGAAGGAATTGCCGTGTCCTGTTGGTACACGTTCACGTTGCATTTAATACCACTTTTGAGCGCGAATCCAGCCGAAAGGGATATACAACGTGTAGCAAGACTCTCTAAGAGAGAATTTCTTCTGTGCCAAAATATTTGTTTACCAAAAAGTGATCTCAAAATTGATAGACTCTAGAATATCCAATCCTGGTTTTTGAACCCCGCTGGCAGGCAAATAAGTATCCGCGCGGGTGAGCATTATCACCGTACACTCACTGCAGAGGTTAACTCAATTATGTACTGACCTGGTATTTAATTCCCTCTTTCAACATATTCTTTGCCGCTTATTATATCGCAGCCAAGATCCAGCTCCTTCCAATTACGTCCGTACGTGGACATAAGTTATTAGCGCGAAACTTTGCTTTGAACAGATATGGAGGCCACCTTGCTAGTACTAAATGATGATATTGCGAAGTTGCCCCACAGTTGTTGCACTATCGGGTGTTAAATCGACGGACAGGAACTTGGATATCAATTTCCACCTTTCTACTCCCGTCGCTTTCTGCTTCCAGCGACTTCAGTCCAAATTCAGGTACATTTTACCATTAACTAATATCGAAATTTGACTACACTTAACACTCTTCACAAAAGAAAACGCTTTTCATAAAATCAAAAGAAACATTTGATCTTAGTTTGCATTGGAACATAAGTTCATCGGGAACAATCAATATAAAACTAGACCATTTTGAAAATAGTTGGGAGAATCGAAAAAACACGGGACCTTCAGGCTTCATTCCGAGTTAATCGAGGGTTAAGCAAACTTTATGACACAAATTAAAAATGGTGAAGTCAAGTGGCCTTCTCGCTCACTGTAAAACATAAAACTTAGAACTTAGAAGTACACATTAAGATTTCGTTTTATAAATTAAATCAAATAGCTTATAGCAATATAGACTGCGTGACGGTTGACGATGGTTTGTCTGTGATAGAGATAGCGCGGTGCGATAATAGTCATCAATTAAGCAATAAACTATAATTAACTGAAACATCTCGAGGTTTAATAACCTCTATTCTGTTGAGGTTGCTGGTACTGAGGGGCACCTTGGGGAGCTCCCTGGGCGGCGAACTGTTGCTGTTGGGCGTACTGGGAGTACCATTGTTGGTATTGCTGCTGCTGTTGGGCGTGTTGCATGTTATAGTTCATGTTCTGGAAAGAAAGTGTACATCAATATGGCAAGTAATTGGTGGCCTGTGCCCTAGGTATTCGTAATAGTCAGGAAATAAATAAATAAAATCAAATTTCATGAAATTTGACCAATTTTCATCCAATTTGGTTGGTTTTATTTTGTGTGGATGTGGATCGGACAGAGATTTGTTATCCTATCCAATATGAAAATTTTGTTGAATTCATTGAATTCATGCATACAGTATTTCCATCTGATGCAGGCGTGAACGGTTGTTGATGCAAATTTTCTGATGTTTTCTGAAAATAGCACTTACAATAATTTACAAAATAACAAATTGAATTGAAAATAACAGATAATTTTAGTTCATAATTTCGGTATGTTTCTGTACGTTATCAACTTATTATCCAGGTATATTTTTTCTTACTTATGTCTGATCAGAAAACATCAGAAATTTTAAACAGAATAGTATTTCAATCAAAATATCATAAACAACAGATTAAAGCTGGTTTTCTACAATAATAAGAAACTTACATATCCGCCCGCGCCCCCTTGGTTATTGAAATTATTCTGGTTGTAATTGTTCTGGTGATTGTAGTTTCTGTCGCGGTTGTAGTTTCTGTCGCGGTTGTAGTTTCTGTTGTTACTGTAGTTATCACGCCTCTTGTAGTCTTTTATTGGCACCGAGCTGAAGAAAATTAATATAAATTTACATTTTACACGTAATAAAATAAATGCATAATTGATATGATCAAAATGAACCAAGCTGATTACAAATGAATTTAATTCAACTTGGGTAATTATTCAACTGAAAATTAATATTATATTAAACAGTTTCATCTTAGACTACAAGCTTACTTTTATTATGGTAAATTAACGAACTCAATTGCAACGTTCAAACATTCTTTAAACAATAGAAATGCTCAGTGCTCACCTCTCCTTCTTCTTCTCATCTAAAACGGTCTTCCAATTCTTGTTATGATCCTCGTAAGCAGATATGATCGCTGTTACGTTATCGCCAAACTCTTCCAGGAATGTCAAACGGCGGTGTGAGAAACCTGAAAATATATTTGATCAATCATTTAATCGAGTGACGCTCAATATTTAACGAATGAGACTAACTGTTTAAATTTTTTGTAACTTCTAGCTTCTGTGTAACGTTCTGCGACAATTTCAAATTTCCCTGGAATGGCCGATATCTCGCCGTTATTGCAAGTAGGGATCGGGACTGTTCTAACAGTGAGATGCGAGGAACCTACGACATCTACTCTGGTATCCGGGGACAGTGAGAGCCTAGATAATATGATGAGATTAGCAGCACTTTATTCAGGATTTTAATCTTCTTTTCATTTTATCATTTTGAACGATAAGGAGAATTTACTGTTTCAGGATCAACATAAAATCCTTATTCCCAAGTTCCCAAATGTACTCGCGTAGGTGAGCCAAAACCTCGCTAGAGCTGTCATAAGTTTCTTAAATCTTACATGGTAGTAAGCACTAGTAACTATTCTGTTGAAAGGCAAAACACGGTAGTTTAGTTCATGCTGTTTTTTGTCTCTGAATAGAATAATATAGTATGACACTTGCACTTGCACTGGTAGTTTCTCGGAAGCAACGACGCAACGTTTACAATTACATATTTTGACTTGACTTAAGGCGGGTAGTGTTCCCGAGATCCATTGACAACAGTTCTACACAGCTTTCTGTCCTCCATCAGTCTAGCTATCTCATCTGTACTGACTTCAGCCCAGTATCTGCTTTTAGGTTATCTAGTAGTGTTAAGTAAGGTCGCCCCTGTTAGTATGCCCATGACTCGGCTTCCAGAGGATCAGTTTGTTCAGTGTCAGCTCCGGATGTCGGTGAGCATGACCTGCAAGTCTGAGCCTTCGTTGGGTTATCTTGGAACTGACTTTGGGAAGATCACCGTACAGGCTGTGGTTGCTGACATGGTCTCGATATTGATTGATGTTAAGGGCCAATCTTAACATTCGCGTATAGCAACCATCAACCTGTCAACCATCTTCTCTAGCCTTTTCGTTATAGTCCAAGTCTCGGAACCGTACAAAAGCACCGTCTCGACTAGTGCTGTAAACACTCTGATCTTGATAGACTTCCTAAGCTTAGAATTCCAAAGTTTTTTTAGTGTGTGGCATGCGTAAAAATTAAATATTTTAGCGTTAGTTAACATAATATTTTCCAATTGACCATACATTTTGAATACATTTTGAATACATTTTATAAATATTTTTAATGCAAGACTCAAGACTGGCAAGACTGTTTAAAACTGCATGTTTATATTATCTGCATTTAATATAAGCAATATGGCACAGATAACAGGAGACAGTACGATGAGAAACAACGAGGAGGATACTTTGACTCCTTCTATCTTAGTGTGACAGACATAGTGGACAAGTTCTCACTACCAAGGATCATCGGCTTCATACATACAAGCAACAAAACGATTTACTAAATGCAAAGAAAACAAAATTTTAAATTTTTTTTCCTCGACTTATTAATTTTACCGGGGTAAGCACAGGGCTCCAATGCTCTATCTTACAGTGGTCACGATCTTTCCATTAGTGATATTAACCACAGCCCCCTGGCCCTAAGAAGAAGAAGATGAGAAACTTACCAGCTTTCTCTTCAATAGTTAGACTAGATGTAAGAGCCTTGTCGAATACAGCTACAACAGCAGCACAGTTGGGGTACTGAGTTCCGGAACTGTGTTCCAGATCCAGCAGTCTCACGTATAATTTCTTGTTTCTCTGGGGGATGTGTTCATTATTTATTAGTTATGTTGGCGGCACCCGGCGATAACATTTATAATATCGTTACGTCATGCAGTAGGCAAAAACTCAACTTTACGAGAAATGTCTGATTTTAAAAGCCGCCATACTGTGTGGTATTATGATGCTAAAAATAGAATATAATTACAATCGACACCGTTGTACGCCATTAGACAATAGACATATTATTATCTTCAAAGAAAACGTGTTATAATAAAAGATTCTTCGAAAAATTATAAAATTTTGAGTTAGATAAATAAGTTACATTACAAGTAAACATACCGGGTTTCTCTCAATCTGTTCATTAAGGAACTTTCTAGCGACATCAATCTCCTTAGCCGAGTACTGTAAGTACCCAATATACTTGTTGATCCAGAAGTCACGTGTTTCACGACCTCTACAGTTCTCTATTGCTAACTTAATGATATCTCCGCCTTGTTCAATATTTCCAGTCCGTCTGTAGTGGTTATTGTGTTGCATTTATTTAAATATTGCATTAAAAGCTATCCATGCAAATTAAGATTTCGTGATTATTGCATAAATATGGAAAATTATATACGATTAAATCAGCTGTGTGTCACAATTGAACAGAGCAGAAAGTTGCAAATCTTATGAATTCATACCTCTCCAGGCCGGCACGACGCAGAATAACAGCTATAAGACCTGGCATCCCCTTGTCAATGTGATCCAAGGCTTCTCTTGCTATTTCCAAGTTTCCTGAAAATAAACCTTGTTACAGATAGTTTGACTGTTTTCATCAAAGGAATCTGTTGTACGATCAAAAATGTATGCCACAACCAATATAAACTATTATATATTTTCTAATAAACTTGCCTCGTTCTTCCTCGAAAGCAGCCCAGTTTAGATGAATGTAGGGTTTCTTTACAAGATGTACCATACAAGCTCTCCTGTATATACTGCTAGTCACTTCTTTGTCAATATCACTCATAAAGTTAATGTACTGCAAAAATAGATTGGTCAATGAAACTGAACCAGGAAAATTTGATTAAGGAGAACTTCTTAATGAATTTCAAAACCTTTAAAAAAATCAGGTAAAAATGTCAATATGACAAAGTGATCCAGATTAACTCATTTTCTGAGTATTATTACCTTGATCCAGAATCCCTCGTAAAAGGCACATGCGATAAGACATCTCTCAAAAAGAATAATGGTTCTGGGGTTGTTCTTCTTCTCAATAATCAGATTGAGATAGTTCTTCCAGTTCTTCAATTGAACCCTGTTGATACAACAGAGTGTTAAAAATCTGAGGCTAGGTATAGTTGGGAAGGTAGGCAAAAGATTTTTTTAATTTGCCCTTCGATTCAAACAAATTGACTATAGCCGACATAAGACAATTTTAAAACGATCAGGTGACGATTCGTTGTAAACTCTAGATTTGTTTTAAGATCTGGACAGGAGTCAGGACGAATGAACATTTAACACACCTCTCGAGCTCCTTAACGTGGAAGTAAGGTCTCTTAATCCCATCCTCAAATGTCACCACCTCCTCTATTTCAGCGAGGATCTTCTCGTGGATCGGGGCCATGTCGAGCAGCATCTGTTCGCGTATCGCCGCCTCCTGCTTAGCAGTTAGGGCTTCAGGGCTGTCGGGCAGGGGTTCTTCCATGTCTACCTTATTGAAGTCCTAAAATGTTTGAATGAGAATCAACCTGGATTTTCAGACAACTACATACTATGGTCCAAATAATATGTATACATATATTTGAGTATGTTTTAAAATTCATAACAGGCAAAGTTATTTTTAATTCTATTATCGAACAATTGCAATTGGTTAAAATGTTAAATCACAAGTCAAAAGTTTAAATACCTCAGTCATCTGTTCAACGGCCTCTGGCTTTTCTTCTTCTTTGATTTCCTCAACAGCATCTTCCTGCATTGCAACAACATCTTCCACCTTCTCCTCCTCCTTAGCTTCTTCCTTGACAGCTTCTTCTTGGACAGCTTCCTCCTCAGCTTCAACAGGAGCAGGCTCCTGATCCTCAACACCCTCCATCGTCACCTCCTCGATACCAGGTGGTTGATCACCTAACACTGCCATCTTCTGTTCCTCCTGCATCCTCTTGATATCTTCCTGAATCTTTGCTTCCTCCTCCTCTGCTTGCTTCCTCTGCTCTTCAGCTAATCTGGCTGCTTCTTCTGCAGCTGCTCTTGCTTCTTCTTCTTCCTCTTTAATCTTCTTCTCGGTTTCAATTCGTCTCCGTTCGGCTTCTGCTTTGTGTCGAGTCAACAGTTCCTTGATGTCCTCCATTGTGACCATGTCCTTCACTGGTGTGAAGAAGATCCACTCTCGGAACCTGAAATTCAGATTTTATTGATTTCACCAACTTTAATTAAGCCGAGATTGTGGAAGTGGAATATTCTGTACTAAGTACATATATTAGTCCCTATTTGGATATTTGAGACGCTTGACAGGTTATCTGAGAGGCTATAGATTGGGATCACATGAACCTTTCTAAATCATGTTGTATACCGTACACTTTCCGTAATGTAATAATGTAATATGTGTTATACATATTAGGATTCCTCCTATTAGCTTAAACCAGTTGTATTACTATTACTACTCTCGTAATTTAATGAAATGTGCTGTGAGCTATCATTTTCATTTCGTCTATCTGCGTGCAATATAGTTCGACAGAGTCAAACTTTTAGGGTTTCGAACTAGAGGGTGTCGAACTAGAGTGCGTATCGAAATAGAGTGTGTGTACCAATGCTCATGACTTCATGCGGACCCATTGTTACCATTTCTTAGCTCAGACAATAAAAAGTTGAACTGACGATAGCTAATAGATTTAATGATGAAGTGGCAATAATAGTAATGAAGATTATAAATGAACTATCTGTGAATAAAATTGAAAGTTCAGCTTGAACAGTTCCCTGCAAAAACCAGCCCTAACTTTCAGCTGGATTTTTTCCAGGGAACTGTTGCTTCTTATCTCCGGAATCACCAACAAATATAGTAAACTTGCTCGTGTCCTATTACATTACTTACTACAACTGCTAACTTACTTACTTACTATAACATTAGCTATTATATTAGCTCTCAATAATTTTAAGTTTTATTTCGCAGTAGTATTCGGTATAGTAGCTAGACTGAACTTGTTAATTGGAAAAACATGTTAATTGAAAAAAATCGAATGCTATCCCATTTAACAGGTCGACGTATGAGATCACCAAATATTCTTATAAAACATCATAGGACAAGGCAATACAAGTTTTTGGTGAATTTCATAAAATTCTATGAGTGAAGGTACCTCATTTAAGCTAAGAATAAAGAAACTATAACAACTCACTTGTCGAAATGGTATTGATGTCGCTGGATGACACAGCCAAGGAACTGTCTATACAACTTCAGTACTCTGTACTTATCTGTCTGTTTCTCCCACTCCACATACGCTTCCCATATTTTATCAGAACGATAATCCTGTCCACACGCCTCAACTGCTCGTTGGTAGATCCTGAGGAAAAAAACTTTGTCATCATCAAACTAGCAAATTGGGGGTAATATAAACAATAAATTCTTACCAAGTTTCATTGCTAACACAGCCTTGTGAGGTAACCACATGGCTCACGATTGAAGAGATTGAGAGGAGATGGTTGAGTACTACCACTACCTGGTACATGACACAGCCGGTCACGTAATAAAATCCGCCGTGTCACGTGATATCCGCACGTGCAGCGCGTACCTATGGGACCAACACACTGACTGTGAGACACTGAGAGTAAGGTGATCGGTGTATGACGTTATATGGTGACGTCACCACGTCTAGCTAGCTCCGGCTGGAATTATATTCATTACTCTTACAACAGTAATACAGAGAGGTTCATTGATCAGAGATGAGGGATCCATCCTTTTCGTGTTCTCAGACACTTTTCTCCAGGGCTGAAATTCTACATAACAACGGGTAATTGAGAGGAACTGGAATCGGATTCAAGAGTACTTACGTTCGGATCTCGTTTTCATCGCCATCTTTCCACTCGGCAATAAAGTGGATAAAGTAGGTCCACAGGTCAACAGACAAGGGAATGGCTATCACAGCGTCGTTGTACACCTGTGTAAAGATATTTATCATGCATGAATAATAACTTTACACAAATCAGATAATGCGATTTAATAATTTTAATCATTTACATAACCACCGTGGCCGTGCTGTGTTACATTTAAATTAGGTTAATTAATGATTATGATTATCAAATTTTGCGGAGATTTATGAGGATAGATTGTTGAACAAGCTTGTAGCAGTTACCTGAAAAGCTGCTTCGTTAGAGACAATTTTCTTCATTTGGTCGGCGTATTTCTTCCAGTAACCATAGCAGTAAGGATACAGTTGCAGGAATGAAGAGAAAGCTTTCTGGATCTGCTTTAGCTTACCCTGAACATGAATACACTGTTATCTATTTGAGGAATTATCTGAGAACTGCAGGAAGAAACTAATCCGTAGAACTAAAGCTGTTGCAGTTCATAATACAGCATTGAGATTGACAACAGACTTACATTTTTCTCTACTACTTGAAGAAGATAAGTCCAGCTAGCAAAATCATTGGGGTTCTCTTCCACAGCTTTCCAGAATCCCCTCTCTTCTGCTGTTGGGACTTCATCAGGACCAGGACCGTCCTGAAAAATGCATGATTACCAGTTTACAGAGACAAGAATATCATTATCATGCTAATGCTATTTTGAGGACCCTTGTGGTTAAAGAAAGAAAATTAAAATGCAAATTTTGCATGCAATAAGCGTGAATAATTGGATAATAATTTGAAGCGATAAATACATGATTATGCAATACTTACATCGTCATTGATATCATCAAGAACAATCATTTCAGGTTTCTGCTTTACTGGTACCTTCACTTCAACAACTTCTGAAGCAATGAGTAGAATTAATGATTTCAAATTTGTAGAGTATAATATCACTATATCAGTTAATAAATTCGTCCATTACTCAGTTAATTAACAAATGGATAACTGCAATTGAGTGGAAAGATTCATGGATTTACCATCTTCATTTTGAGCTTCCATAACAGCATCTTCATTGTTGGTTTGGACAGTCTCATGTTCAACTGGCTGACCTTCAGTAGATCCTTGTTCCTGGACAACATTTTCTTCTGCCAGAGGTTGGCGAACAACTTCATGTAGTGTATCAGCACTATGTTCTACTTTGTTAGACTCATCAGCTTCAAAGGTACCATAATCCACAGTATTACCATTAGTTTCTACTTCTGCAACAGGCTCTTCTGAGGCATGTTCTTCTGCAACAGGCTCTTCGACAAAAGATTCTTCTTCATCAGAGTCAGCTTTGGTTTTCTTTGATCTCCGACTGCTTCTTTTCTCTACTTTCTCAGGGTCCTCTAAGTCTTCCTGACCTCGACTACGTTTGGACGATCTCCTTGAAGATTGTTTTATTTTGTTCTCCTTTAAATCTTCCTCATGAGATTCCTCATGCACACTACTGTCTAAGGATACATCGATTGATTCGTCCATGATTCCTAGAATCGTGGTATAATTAATTAATTTTTAACACATTCAAAACATCAAAACAGAGCTCAGAGGATTCCAGTGGTGTAACGAAAGGCCCTGCTGACCCCGCTGTGCAGGGGGGCGCCGTCTTAGGGGGGGCGCCAAATCGTCGTTTGAATGTGGGACAATTTCGAAAACTTAACTAAAGTACTAGCAAAACTGCACGCTTTGCTCTAGATACACACTTTTTTAGAGATTTTACCGGCGTATTCTTTAAAATCACCTAATTTGTTCAATTTTAGGGAGGGGCACCAAAAGGGGAGGGGGCGCCAACAGGGGGGCGCTTTTTTCGGCAGGGGGGCGCCAACAGGCAACGTTACGCCACTGGAGGATTCTCTCATGTCCTGGGTTTACCAGGATCAGGAGTGTTCTGGGAAAACAAAATCGACTGCCAGTCCCAGTAGATCTGAAATACCAGTAAACTGGGATTGGGTTAAAACATTAAACAGTTAACACATGAATCATAATAATGATAATAATAAATTAATGTTATTTTTATACAGCACCAAAAGGTTAAATAATTTAAATTTAACCCTTATGCTCAGCTGTAAATGATACTTAAGTTAACGAGAGTGTGCATCTTTCATCACAACTAAGGGAGGTTGTAGGTTAAATGAGGATGAGCTCTGTCAAAATATGTAGAATCTTCTTAGAGTAACCTTTACTGCACTGCAAATCATAATACTACACCCATAAAACAGCTTAAATGATAGATAGTCGTGGTCTATGTCTCAACAACACATATGTCTTGACTGCATGATGGATCCCAGTATCACCAAGTGTCCCACATGAATCCCATTGTCACCTAGTCTAGGTAGTAGCTAATGATCCATTGGATCTATGCGAAATTACACAACTGTGTGATAAAAAACGTGATCGATTTTTGAATGAGGAGGAGTCCTGCCGAAATTCGAAAAGAATCGCTTTAGAATACCTCATCAGTACATCTGCATTGAAGTACAAAGTGTACAGTTACTATGCTATACTATACTTATGGAGATCTAAATTCAATTTAATTGTTCAGGTGGCACTCGGGAAGAGAAAATTATTCAAACAATATACATATAATATAACAATTACCCTATATAAAAATTCAATATAAATTCAATAGAAAACTAAATAAAATTTATAAACACCCTTTAAGTAGTATAAGTAAGCCAGTTTAAAGAACTGGCTCCAAATTTATATCTAATTCTGCTATTTTTACTGCACTACTACTTTTTAACCCTCTCTCCTAAATTCAATTTAATGGTTCAGTTTAAAAGGTTTCGACTATTCGTTTTCTACCGACTAGCACAAACCTAGGCAATTAAGAATTCCACTAAAATGGCACGGATTTAATGGCACGTAGTTCACTGTAGATTTCAAAAATTAGGAAGATCTTTGCCTTGGTAAGAAAGCAGTGAAAAAATGGGGGAGGAGCGGGGGTTTCATACTCAAGAGATTCATGTTTCGCTGCATCATCAACCAGTTCCACCCCCGTATCATAAAGTAAGGAATAGAATCCTCACATAATTGCAATACTGAATATAAACAATGGATGATTTGTGGTGTAAGTTACACTTAACTTGTTCAGATGTACTTTTAAACTAATATAAGCTAAATCAAAGTACTTCACGATAGTCTCCAGTTTCCTGTGCGATGTTTTTTATTCTTCATGATTTTTAGGTTGATTTTAGGATAGTGTCAATAAAAACGATGGAGAAAAATGTTGTATGATATGTTCGATATAATAGTCGATTGTTAAAACCTCAACTAGCGCTCGATTTGAATATCTGTCATTTTGTTTAAACTTTCATACGCTGTGCGCGGCTTAGCTGCATCATAGCACTTTATAAATAAATTTATAAAATCAAAAAGTAGAAAGTACTGTCAAAAAGAAGTAAAGTTCAGCGATTGGAAGGAAAAAGTGTTATCAATAGTTTCCAATCGTATTGAATATTACAAGAAAAACTTTCCTGAAACATTTGAAATAAAAGAAAACACACTGGAAAAAGATGATGTTAAAAGAAGTCTTAAATTGCTGAAAAGTAAATACATTATTTGTAGTATCGACAAAGCTTCTGGTAATTTTTCATTTATTTGTAAAAAGTTTTATGTAAAAACTCTTGTCAATGAAATGGGTTTTGATCCTAATACTCTAGAATGTATAGGTAATGATACATATAAACCCTGTAGCAAAGACGAGACTCATTATGTCAATAAAATATCTGAGAGTCTAAAGGAGAGATTTAATGTACAAGTTGAAGATAAAAACTTGCGACTAGCACGCATCTTCTGGAACCCTAAGCTTCATAAGAACCCTTACAAGGCGAGGTTCATTGCAGGTGCCCGTTTTTGCGTTACGAAACAACTTAACGTCCAAGTTAACTGTTGTCTGAAACTTTTGAGGAAATACTTCAAGAAATACTGCGAGGCAATCTACAACAACAGCGGTATAAACATGTTTTGGAGCATAGATTCCTCAAGTGAATTCCTTGAAGCTATCAAAAATAGCGATGTTTATAATATACAAGTATATGATTTTACTACTCTTTATACCAGATTAGACTTGATTGAAGTAGAGAATATGATTAATGAAGTTGTTGATTTAATATTTTCAGACCGTAATAGATATATTTGTATTTCTAAAAGAGACAGTAATACATGTTTCTTTTCCAATAAAACCTATGATTGTCATGCCTGCTTTAGTCAAGATGACCTAAAAGAGGCTGTTAAATTTATTATTTATAACACTTATGTCGTCTTCGGTGGGATTGTATTCATACAAACCAAGGGTATTCCTATGGGTGGAAATTCAAGTTCCCCTATAGCTGATCTCACTGTTGGCAAAAAGGAATTTAATTATATGAAACGTTTACTTCAGGAAAAGAAAATGGGATTAGCAAAGATATTATCCAATAATAAACGATATGTTGACGATTTATCTATTATTAACTACCTTTACTTTCATAAATTGATTAAAGATATTTATCCTAATTCATTGGAGATGGAGCGAGCTGGTTCCAATAATAAAATCATTAACTACCTTGATTTAAATATTAATATTTCCACAGAAGGACTAGAAATATCAGTGTATAACAAAACTGATTATTTTAATTTTCATGTTGTATCCCTTACATTTCCTCACAGTAACATCCCAACCGAGGTTGGCTACAACGTTTTTTCAAGTCAAGTTCTTAGATATGGTAATGTTTGCACTAGATTGGATATCTTTACCTCCCATCTTCACAAAATATTCAAAATTCTAATTGATAGAGGATATAGCCGTGATAGACTGATTAAAGGCATTAAACGTTGTCTGAGGAAATATGATAACGTTTTCAGGAAGTTCGGTATTCTAGATGACCGTAACATTATTAAAGAACTCCCCTGATATCTTTTGATTTATTGAAACACGGGTACTAACTCTGCTAAACTGAACAAATTCTGAAACTTAGGTGAATAAGTGTACAACGTGATAAACCGAAGTTCAGACTGACCAGTGAAAATGGGCGAGCGTACCAAGTGTCATTTTAATTAGAAGTTTTAGTCAGTGATTTATTATTGAAGCTTGTAATTACAATATCTAATGCTCCTATAAATACTTTAATTAATTGTTTGTCCCGTTATTCTTTTTCCTTCCTCTTTTCCTTGTCATCCCCTTTAGTTTTAAGATTCTTGCTATAAATGGCTACAGCTAACACTATTAATGCTAAGTACCAAACAACAAGTGGGAGGTGGATCGTTGGTACCATTAAATCGATTTAACACCGCAATTCCAGTCGCAAGCCTGGGACCACTACTAGCATAGTCACAACATCTACAAAGCTGCCATATAGCCTGACTGACAATTTTCTCGACTGACTGACAATGTTTCTTCTTTTTCCCCATTTAGAATACAAAGATTAGTACATTTTAGCTTATGATTAATATTATATTTTTACCTATAGTTTACTTAGATTTGTAGATTTATAACGGCCAGGACGCGCGCTGAGTTAGACTCGTCGACGGTCCTAATAATTGGAACAAATATTTTACGAGTATCACCCGTTAACATGGCACTCCATTAGTTATGATATGTGTATGATTCACGTGTAGTATCAGTGATGAGAGAATTACGTTATAGAATATAAGCAAGCTGAGTAATGCACAGAACACTTTTGTTGCTTGTAGTGCCTAGTCCGTTACTGGGCGCACGGTGCTCAGCCCGTCATTCTGCTGCAACTTCTACATTCTATCATCTTTCGATCCATTGTCAAACTCAAACTGCTGCACAACTTTGCTTTAACGGGTGATACTCTTGGAGGACTTCGCCGCTTCGACGCGCCGCGCGAACTAGCATTCTTGCTTCGCAGAGCAACGATCTCGATGGGTTGACATCGTCAACCAAGTGATACTCGTAAAATATCTGTTCCATATATTGGACCACCTGTTCCATATATCATATATTGGACCGTCGACGAGTCCAACTCCAAACTCGGCGCGCGTCCTGGTAGGTTGTAAACCTACACTTCTAAACTACAATTTAAATTATTGATTATGTGTTATAATTGATATTGTATGTTTATAACCTACCGTACCAGGACGCGCGCTGAGTTGGACTCATCGCGATGGTCGACGGTCCTGATAATTTGAAACAAATATTTTACAAGTATCACCCGTTAATAATTGATAATGCTAAAAACAAAAATTAATAAATCTAATATCCAAATAAAATTCTGTTAACTAAACTGTAAACACAAAACAGTAAATATGTTCAAATAAAAATAATACCGAATCGCTAAGTTTTACTGCAAAAGACGATTTTCTGAGAATGTCAAGCGTTTCCACGGCCACCTTATTTTTAGTTTTTTTTAATGTTAACCCTTTGTGGCCGGCACTTCCCTTAGTAGTGCGATGCGTTTTGCTCTATCCAGAGCCCTTGCGCTTGCAGTAGCGCGCGCCCGCCTCACGGCTTCTTGACTTGTGAAACAAGCGCGCCCGCAGTGG